GACTTCACAAGGTGGCTGCTGTGAGGATTAAGTAGATGAGGGGGAGAAGGATGGGGAAAGCCACTTTGGGTCCCCAATCATGGAGGAAAGCAGAATATAAATTTTTGAAAAGAAAGAAAAAACTTGGGGCACTTCTTGTCATCCAGTGGGGGGAACCTCCATGTGGAAGGAAAGAGGAGAAGAGAAGAGATTGGATTTACACCCCGCCTTTCACTACCCAAAGGAGTCACAGTGGTTTACAATCCCTTTCCCTTCCCCTCCCCACAACAGACACCCTGTCAGGTAGGTGGGGCTGAGAGAGCTCTCTCGAGAACGGCCCTTGAGAGAACAGCTCTGAGAGAACTTATGACTGACCCAAGGTCACACCAGCAGCTGCATGTGGAGGAGTGGGGAATCAAACCTGTTTCTCCCAGATTAGAGTCCACGCTCCTAACCACTATACCAAACTGGCTCTGGCAGCCCAAGCCTCACAAACTATACCAGTTTGGTGTAGTGGTCAAGTGTGCGGACTCTAATCTGGGAGAACCGGGTTTGAATCCCCACTCCTCCACTTGCACCTGCTGATGTGACCTTGGGTCAGTCACAAGCTCTGGCACAGCTGTCCTTGAAAAAGAGCAGTTTCTGTCAGAGCTCTCTCAGACCCACCCACCTCACAGGGTGTCTGTTGTGGAGAGGGGGAGGGAAAGGAGTTTGTAAGCTGCTCTGAGACTCCAAGTGAAGGGCGGGGGTATAAATCCAATCTCTTCTTCTAGTTATAATTGACCTTGTGAGCTTGGGGTCCTCATTCTGGCACTTGCTCCCAAATATGCCTCCAAGGAGCAGCATGAGGTAGGGTAGGGTTGCCAGCTCAGGGTTGGGTAATTGCTGGAGATTTGGGGGCTGGATGGGAAGGACTTCAGCAGGGTACAGTGCCATAGAGTCTACCCTCCAAAGCATCCATTTTCTCCTCAGGAACTCCTTGGGAGATCAGTTCCCCTGGAGAAAACAGCAGCTTTGGAGGGTGGCCTCTGTGGCATTATAGCCTGCTGAAGTCCCTCCCTTACCCAAAGCGCTCTTTACTGCTTGTCTAGTAGGGTTGCCAGGTCCTCCCTGGCCACTGGCAGGGGGTGGTGTGAGTAGGGTTGCCAGATCCAGGTTGAGAAACTCCTGGAAATTTGGGGGTGGAGCCTGGGGAGGACAGGGATCTCAGTGGGCTACAACGCCACAGAGTCCACCCTCCAAAGCATCCATTTTCTCCAGGGGAACTGATCTCTGTCATCTGGAGATGAGCTTTAATACTGGGAAATCTCCAGGTCCCACCTGGAGGCTGGCAACCTTAGGTACCAGTCTTCCTCGGTTCTGTTTTCCCTCTCCCAGCTTTCAGTCACAGTGTATTCATATTATTATGGTCACATAATCAGAACTAAATCCATGCTCTGGAGCACTCATCACTGCCTGTCTCCATTCCAGAAATTTCTGTGGGGTCCCAAGATGGCCGACAGCGTCTGCTGCAAATTGGTGGACTACTTGGAAGAGCTGACAGAGGAGGAATTCAAGAAATTCAAGATGCACCTCGAGGACTACCCGCTGGACAGAGGATACAAGCCCATCCGGCGCTGTAAGACCGAGAAGGCCGATGCCATCGAAATCGCTCGGCTCATGGTCAGAGCGTATGAGGAGGCGATGGCATTGCAGATGACAGTCAGAATCCTGGACAGAATAAACAAGAAGAATCTGTCAGCAAAAATCAAACAGGAGATGCCGGCATGTAAGTAAAAGGAGCTCGACCACTAACAAAGCTAGACTCTCTGAGGCTGTATTCCTTCTTAGGCCTTCAGTCCAGTTTGCTATGGACCTTGGCTCATCAATATATAAAGGTAAAGGTTCCCTTTCTCGAAAGCCAGTTGAATCCAACTCTAGGGTTGCGGTGCTCATCTCCGTTTCAAAGCCGAAGAGCCAGCGTTGTCCAAAGACATTTCCGTGGTCATGTGGCTGGCATGACTAAACACCAAGGCGCACGGAACGCTGTTACCTTCCCACCGAAGTAGTACCTATTTATCTACTTGCAGTTTCTTGCTTTCGAACTGCTAGATTGGCAGGAGCATCAATATATATCAAACAATAAATACACATAGGATACATTCGGCTGACTATGGAACTTCAGGTTTCTGTGCCACCTCCTCCCTCCTCTTGCACGTTGCCCCAGGACTGAAAATGTCCTGGTTTAGAGATAGCTGAGGTTTTCTCCTAGAAAGAAACTGGGTGGGGTGGGGGGTCAACATACCGTGAACACCAGCTGCCTTATGCTAAGTCTCATCTAGTCTATCAATGTGTGATTCTGCATCTAGCATTCGCTCCACATATTCTCAACTGGGAGGGAAAAGTGCGGCTCAAAACCACATCCAAATACCCTGGGCTAACACCATATTGACTGCAAAGTCACCCCTGGACGGCCTTAAAGCGGCCATAAATCTATGCAGAAGGTACCATAAAATCCGATGATCAAAGGAAGCAAAAGCAGCATGGAGTGTGGAGGCTACCATAAAATCCTGTAATGTATCCAGCCCAGACAAGCCCAGACAAGTTCAGAGACAAACATCTAGCTTCGCTCCAAGAGACAATGGATTATGCGAGTCTCATCTTGTCTATCAAGGGGTGATTCTGCATCTAGCATTTGCTGCACATTTTCTCAACTGGGAGGAAAAAGGGCAGCTCAAAACCACATCCAAGTACCCTGGGCTAACACCGTATTGACTGCAAAGTCACCCCTGAACGGCCTTAAAACGGCCGTGAATCTATGCAGAAGGTACCATAAAATCCGATGATCAAAGGAAGTGAAAGCAGCATGGAGTTTGGAGGCTACCATAAAATCCAATGTTCAAAGGAAGTGAAAATAGCTTGCAATGCAGAGGGGAATTTCTCTTCCAATGTGGGTCTCGTAATGGAGGGAAAAGCCAGTCCAGAATCAGCTAAGGTCCGTATTGTCTTCTTGGACTCAAAGTAGTTCTCAAGTGCTTTAATATATATTTTTTTTAATTAGCATTCTTTGCAAATGCGTTAAGTTGTTTCTCCAATGGCAAGTCTGGTCCGGTATAATCCGTAGCCTCTTAACTGAGTCAGCAAGGGTCAGCTGAACCTTATCAAAAGTGGGAAACACACAATGTCTTTTCCAACTAGCATCACTTCTGTCTTGTCGGAGTGGTTTCTTCACTTTCAGTCATGATTTAACCATAGCAGTTAGGTATTGGCCCAAGACCTCTACCATGTCACCAGGGGATTTGGGTAGAGAATTATAGAGCTAGGTGTCATCAGAATATAGAGCCAATTCCAGAGCTATGAATTATTTCTCCTAAAAGCTTTCAACAGCGGTTGAATAACACGGGGGATGCCTGGTCTATCACTGACAGCCTGCGCTCGTCAACCATATTTAAGAAAGACCAATGTGCTGTATACCAAGTTAATCTACAGAATGTATAACGCCACCTATATGGTATTATAATATAACTGCTAGCACTTTAATATGAATGCAACATTGTTTTAATGAATTGTTTTAAATCTCTGTGATATTTATTGTTATTAGGCTTTTATTGTGAGCCTGCCTCGGTGGGGAGGGCGGGGTATACATTTGAAGAAATAAATTAAAGTCTCCGTGCAAGACCTTTTCCGAGTACTTGCCAGGGTCGGCTCTGCATAGCTTCTGAGATCTGATGAGATTAGGCTTGCCCGGGCTATCCAGGTCAGGGCCTAATTGCATCAGTTTGTTACTGCGACTGGTGCAAGAGATGCTTCTCTGGTCATTGTGGGAACTACAGAAGCAAGGGACCCGTGGAGCTGCCTCATACGGAGTCTGACCATTGGTCTGGCAAAGCCACTATTGTCTTCTCTGACTGGCAGCAAGCAGTTCTCTAGGGTCTCGGGCAGAGGTCCTTCTCCATGCCTACGGTTTGGTCCTTTTGATAGTAGTAATAGTAATATACTTTATTGTCATTGTACATAGTACAACGAAATTAAGATGCAATCATTTCGGTGATCTACTACAATATTCATATACACTCACGCAACCATTCACAACTATCTCATAACTCCCTTAAGGTTCACATAGCAACTTAAAACCACTAATGTCACCCAAATTCCCATTTCATACAGCATTTAAGGCAGTAATAGCTCTCGAATAAAAACTATTTTTTAATCTGTTTGTCCTTGTTTTAATATCCTATATCTTCTGCCCGAAGGCAGCAGTTCAAACAGGGAATGTCCAGGGTGTGACAAATCCTGCAGAATGTTCTTTGCTTTTTTCCAACATTGAGAACTATACAATTCCTCCAGGAGATGGCCAGGCCTGACAGATGTCTAACTGGAGATATCAGATGTTGAATGTGGGACCTTCTGCATGCCAATAAGGTGCTCTACCACTGAGCCACAGCCCCTTCCCCTAAAGACACTCTGTGTGTGTGTGTGTGTGTGTATATATATAAGAGATAGATAGATAGATATGCATACCATATATATAGTATTTTAAACCAAATATTTAAAATATTTATATTTGTATATTATGTTTATTTCATTGACAACAATGGCCATTTGTTTCTGACAGGTTTCTTCCAGCCTGCAAAACCAGTGCCTTTGACCAAGGAAGAGAAGCAAAAACAGAAAGAGAAGATAGAGTCCGATTTGTACAACCGGTTCTTTGGAACTTCAAAGAAAGGTCTGTTTCTGGGGGGAAGTGACATGCTTCTAGGCGGAGGGCTGCTGGTCACTATGGAAAGGCTACAGGCAGCTCGTCCTACCGAATGTGCCATTGTTGGCCATCTGTGATGTGAATCGTATAGCCTGATCTCGTATAGCGTGAGCCCGCTTCAGCGGGAAGGGCAGGGTATAAATCGAACTAATAAAATAAAATAATAAAATAAAATCTCGTCAGATCTCGGAAGCTAAGCAGGGTCAATATTTGGACGGGAGGCCACCCAGGCAGGCTTTGCAGAGGAAGGGAATGGCCAGCCACCTCTACTTCTGGCTTGCCTTGGAAGCCCATTGCTGGGGTCGCCATCAGTCAGCTGTGAGTAGACGACACTTTACACATGCCATGAGAATCACGTTGCTGAGCTGAGGAAAAAAACCCTTATCTGATTGCTGGACATCTTGTTGAAGCACAAAGGCCTCCAGTAAAACGACAGAGAAAAGCAAATCTACCACTGAGCCACAGCCTCTTCCCCTAAAGACACTGTGTGTGTGTGTGTGTGTGTATAAGAGATAGATAGATAGATATGCATACCATATGTATAGTACTTTAAACCAAATATTTAAAATATTTATATGTGTATATTATGTTTATTTCATTGACAAGAATGGCCATTTGTTTCTGAAAGGTTTCTTCCAGCCTGCAAAACCAGTGCCTTTGACCAAGGAAGAGAAACAAAAACAGAAAGAGAAGATAGAGTCCGATTTGTACAACCGGTTCTTTGGAACTTCAAAGAAAGGTCTGTTTCTGGGGGGAAGTGACATGCTTCTAGGCGGAGGGCTGCTGGTCACTATGGAAAGGCTACAGGCAGCTCGTCCTACCGAATGTGCCATTGTTGGCCATCTGTGATGTGAATCGTATAGCCTGATCTCGTATAGCGTGAGCCCGCTTCAGCGGGAAGGGCAGGGTATAAATCGAACTAATAAAATAAAATAATAAAATAAAATCTCGTCAGATCTCGGAAGCTAAGCAGGGGCCATATTTGGACGGGAGGCCATCCAGGCAGGCTTTGCAGAGGAAGGGAATGGCCAACCACCTCTACTTCTGGCTTGCCTTGGAAGCCCATTGCTGGGGTCGCCATCAGTCAGCTGTGAGTAGACGACACTTTAC